AGAGAATGATGTCAGCAGTCAAATCCTAGGCATTAAATTTTCAAATCAAAACTAATCAAAACAACGTCAACCGTTAGATTTGTCATTTTTTTTCTTACAAAAAAATAATGACATCGGCAGTTCAAAAAAGTTATTTTGCTATTATATATAGATTTGGTCAAATTCAATACAAAGATTTTAACTTGTGACTATAGAAAAGAATATTAAATTATTTATCATTCCTAAAAAATTACACCATTTAAAAGAAATATATTGTATCATGATTCTTTTTCATTCTTTATATTTTAAGGAACTATAATGTTAATATATTTTCTATTAAAAATGAGAAGGAAGAATAATTCATATTATTTTATTCCTTCATTTTCCTATTCATTTTCACTGTTAATTTAATGGTATCAGTTAAAACCAAAGACATTTACTATTCCGAAACAGTCAACAATATTTTGATATTTAAGAAAGTAACTATTCATTTCTAAGTTCCAACTCATAAATGCAACGTTTGAAATCTGAAGCCAATTTGACCAAAATGTGAAGCATTTATTGACATTCATTTCTAGTTTTCCCGAATGTTGAAATTTGAAAATCACATTAATTTCGTCCATATTATAATTTTTTTTTGTATCCTTTTCTCTTTATTTCTTTTGACCATACTAGGTAACTACCTGAGCTACGCTGCGAGATATTTTTCTAAATTATATATATATTTATAATATAATAAAATTATTTTTTATAATATAAATAAATATTTTATTACTTTAAGTTATGTATTTATATGTTTTGAATCTGAATAAACATTGTATATCCTTAATTTTTTTTTCAAAATTGTAATTTACTATCAAATTTGTTTAACTAACTAACTAAAAATACATATGTAAAAATAAAATAATATATATTTTTAAGTATCTTCATGCTAATGGTAAATATTATCTATTTTCTTCACTAAATTGCCACTTGATCCTCCTTTATAATTATATAAAGCAAAATGCCACTTAAATTTTTTTTTATTAATTAATATGATTATTTTAAATTATAAAATTTATTTATTTATCAAATATTTATTATAAACATATGTTTCTAAACCTACCAAACTATAATCAATAACATTCATATCAAAGCCATTGCTATTGCTTTAGAACTAAATAGGAAAATATGTTAGAACTATTGAAATATCAATTTAGCAAAAGTTAAATATTTTAATTTTGCTTACTGTTAACATATGGTAACTTGAAATTTTAACACCAAGAAATTTCATTTTCTTACAAAAACTGAAATATCGCATTTTCCGTTAAAACAAAAAAAAACTCATCTTCCCACAAAAACCAAAAAATTGCATTTTTCAGCAAAAACCAAAAAATCACATTTTCCCGCGAGAACCAGTGTTTTCTGCCAAAACTGAGAAATCACGTTCTCTAATCAAAACCAAAATATTTCATCTTCCTGCAAAAACCGAAAACTATTTCCCGTCAAAAAAAAATCATTTTCCCACAAAAACCGAGAAATCGCCTATTTCCGCCAAAACCAAAAAATTTCATTTTCTCGTCAAAACAAAATTCACGTTTTCCCACCAAAACCAAAAAATTACATAATCCTACGAAAACCAAAAATTGCATTATCTTGCAGGAATTGTATTTTCCCGCGAAAACTAAGAAATCACATTTTTTCACGAAAACTAAGAAATTGCATTATCTGTCAAAAAATGAAAATTTACATTTTCCATCAATACTGAGAAATTGCTTATTCCCACCAAAACCAAGAAATTTTATTTTTCCTTCAAACCGAGAAATTGTATTTTCTGCCGAAATCGTCAAATTGTATTTTTCCGCGAAAACTAAGAAATCGTATTTTCTCACGAAAACCAAAAAATCGCATTATTTGTCAACTTAAAACATACAGTTTGTGAGCTTCTTATAACATACGGTTTTTTGCTTTGTTGTCATGGAAACATAGTTTATGATGGATTTACATTTTCTTTAATTATACACATTTCTGTGAAGCAAACGTGTAGCTAGACATTTTAATTTTTTTAATTTGCTATTATTTATTGTTTGGGTTTGGTAAAAAATAAAATATTTTTTTTTTGTTATTATTTATTATTATCTGGGCTTGGTTTGGAAAAAAATAAAACCATTTTTTTTATTTGCTGTTATTTATTATTTAGGCTTGGGTTTGACCAAAAAATAAAACTAAAATTAAAAATTAAAAATATTTGGGTTTTTAATGGGTTTAAATTTAAAAATTAAGATAAATAGATGACTTGTATTAATAAAATATTTTGATTGATGATTTTTTTTTGCTTAAATGCCATGTTTGTAAAGCTTAAAAAAGCTGAGGTGTCATCCCTAGGAGAGACACTTGTGTTATTGTTGTATTGATTGTTTTGATTTTTTTTCTCTTAATTACGAGATCATTTTTTCCTTAAATAAGGTTAGTAGTCTACTTATATATACTTAAGAATAACGATTTTAAAGATGGAGACATAAGAGAAATTTTGTATCAGCGATACAATGTTGAAGATTTATACTTTAACTAGGTAATAACCTGCACAATGTACGGGGTAAAATAATAATTATTTATTTAATATAGTATAATTTTAAAATTATATAACAAAATACAATTGATTTTATATGAATTGTTTATAACATTATGCTGTAATATTGACAAAATAACTTTTTGTTTATTTTATGAATTTTAGGGTAATTTAATTTTTTTTATGTAAATTTGTTTAAAAATAAATATATATGTACAATCTGGATAGAAATACGAAGTCCCTCTTTACATTTTCTATAACCCATGATTAATAACATAATCTAAAATTCCAAAAAATAGAGGGAGTATATTTTGATTAAATTATTAAGTATCTAATGTGTTATGATAATAATAATTTTTTTTACTACTTCCTGTGTTTCATAATATTAGTTTTTTTAAAAGATTTTGTATTGTTTCACAATATAGTTGTTTTTATTTTTTTTACTATTTCCTATGAATACTATGTGACCGATTATTTTTTTCAGTTTTTCATAATAAGTTGAATTATATTTAATTTATATACTAAATGATTACTTTTTAAAGAAAAGTTACTTTTTAATCTTTGTGCTTTGATGCAAAACAACTTATATTTTGAAATAGAGAGTATTAAAATTGTAAAAATAAAATTTGATTATAAGATTTTATAATCAATTTTAATATTTCTTATATGAATGTAAATTCATATTTAGATTAACCCGCAAAACTATAATCATAAGAATATTAATTTTTAAGAAAAAAAATTACTGTAAAATTTATTTTAAATATTAAATATACATAAGAATTATATAAAAATACATTATATTCTTTATTATTTTTAATAAATTATCTAAAATTGTATATAACTGAGTCAATACTTATACATTCTTAACTTTATGATTCAATAAAAATATTTTAAATATTAAAAATTTTAATAAAATTATTATATAATATCCTTACAATAATATTTTAATTTTTAATAATATCTATTAAATTAAGCTTTCTGTTTTTTTTTATCATTTATGTATTTTTATATTTATTTATGAATCATCTATATACACATCTATATTTTCAATTTTAATCTTTTAAAACATATTTTTATTTATTAATCATTTGAGTAATTTATATTTGTTTAATAAAATTAAAAATTATAACACAGACAAAAAATATATATATTACTATATGAATGATGTGATGATTTATTTTTCTAAAAAAATAAGAGATAAAATATAGTATTTAAAGAGATAATTAATATGATATATTTTTGGTAAGAAATGAAAAAAAGAATATCTTGATGAATCATCATCAATATAATTGATATAAACTAATGTATAACCAAATTAATGTGAGTGGCATGACATGTAATTAATCTAGTAACATAAGTCTATTTTTATAACTTTGCTGAAAATAATTCTGGAGATAACACATCAGCAAAATGACACCACTGTAATATTTTACAAATTAAGGTTATTCTTTAAAAATGCTTCTCTTTTAATATATAGGGGATAAAATTCGAATTATAACACAGAAAAATATATCTATATATATATTACTATATGAATGATGTGATGATTTATTTTTCTATAAAAATAAGAGATAAAATATAGTATTTAAAGAGATAATTAATATGATATATTTTTGGTAAGAAATGAAAAAAGAGAATATCTTGATGAATTATCATCAATATAATTGATATAAACTAATGTATAACCAAATTAGTGTGAGTGGCATAATATGTAATTAATCTAGTAACATAAGTCTGTTTTCATAACTTTGCTGAAAATGATTCTGGTGATGCCACATCAGCAAAATGGTACCACTGTAATATTTTACAAAATTAAGGTTATTTTTTAAAAATACTTCTCTTTTAATATATAGGAGATAAAATTCGAATTATAACACAGGAATATATATATATATATATATATTACTATATGAATGATGTGATGATTTATTTCTCTATAAAAATAAGAGATAAAATATAGTATATAAAGAGATAATTAATATGATATATTTTTGGTAAGAAATGAAAAAAGAGAATATCTTGATAAATCATCATCAATATAATTGATATAAACTAATGTATAACTAAATTAATGTGAGTGGCATAACATGTAATTAATCTAGTAACATAAGTCTATTTTTATAACTTTGCTGAAAATGATTCTGGTGATGACATATCAGCAAAATAACACTGTAATATTTTATAAAATTAAGGTTATTCTTTAAAAATGTTTTTCTTTTAATATATAGGAGATGTTTGCATTGCTTGTTGCAAAGACAATGGCATTCAAACCATATGTTGGATGTAGCCAAACGAAAGGTTATGAACATTTGGGTTATTGCGCTCAGTCTCTAATGCTGAATTCAGCATTTATTCCTCCGATTCCAGAATGTTGTAACAATTTAAAAATGGATTGCCTCTGCGAAGCTGCTATAGCTAGTTTTTTTTTTTTTTTTTTTTTTTTTTTTTTTTTTTTTTAAAACTTTTGTTATAGTTAGTTTTGGCGAACATTTTGACTTTTATAAGATTGGCCAACTTTCTCACGCGGGTGGCGATATAAAACCTCCTGGATCTTACTGCGGAGGTAAACAACATTAGAACCACATTCTGAATTTTATTCATTTTGTTTTCAGCTATGTTGATGTTTATGTTGATGTTTCAGTATACAAAATTCCTGGTAGTATCGGGCATTGATGAAAGAACTATCGGGCATTGATGAAAGAAGTCTATGCATTATCATATCTTAAGTTGTATGATTTACATCATATATGGAGATGATTTTTCATTAATAAAATCATCCTTTTTGATAATTTTCAGAGAAGAAAGAGCGTTGATGAAATATTGGGATTTGATTTAGAAATTGGATTGAATTGAAAAGAATTAAAGTTTCTATTAAATTCTAGTGTTATTCAATGATGTATTTTAACAATTCTTTTAAATATATGTATTATTAGATTAAGTGTTTATATTTATTCTTTCAGACTTTCAGAATCCTTTAAATACCAGTGTTATTCAATACTCCCTCCGTCTCAAAATAAGTGTCACTTTGACACTTTATTTTGTATCATAAAAAGTGTCATTTTATGTTATCAATGCAGTTTTTAAAATTTATTCACAGTTTTATCTATGTTATCTTAGCTTATTAATTAGAGAGAGAAATTGTTTTAGTGTATTAGCAAAATACATAATAGACATTTATAGCGTTTTCTTAATTTGTGTGAAAAATGTCAAAATGACACTTATTATAAAACAAAAAGTATTAGTTTTCCAATTCTATTAAATGTTAGTGTTATATAACACTTATTATAAAACAGAGAGAATATCATCCAATATCATCCCCTTAAAACACAAAAAGGACCACCTAAAACATTCCAAGTCTTGCTTTGTTGAGATCTTCCCCACCAAGCCATTCATGGCCAAACCTTCCTGTGATGGCATTGGTTAGCTCTACAAGAGATGTGCTAAGGAAAAAACCAAATGCGGTTTAACACCATCCCAACGCTGTGCTCATACTCTTCATGTTCGTTGGAGATTCTCTATAGAAGAAATCTAGCATCCCTCCAAAAGTCAATATATCAGAGAAAGTTGGCAACACATAGTGAAACAATATTTTGAAGTTGTTGTGAACTGCTTCATGTTTTCTCTTGGTCTTTACAACTGCTGCAATCGCCACTGAAATAGAGGACATAGCTAGGCCTAGTCCATTGCATTTTAATTGAAGCTTGGTGATATGTCGTAATCGTCTGATGAGAATTTGTTGCCGAAGAAATTGTATAAATGTACAGAAGAAAGCATGAAGATGAGAGGAATGGCATTGAGGGACAGTACAAGGATCTCGAAGGAGATAGAGATTTTTCTGTTCATGATCATGCCCTGTTATACTGAGAAGGTCGATAGTTGTGCCAAGCAGCAGGTCATGGCAATAGTGCTAACAAAGATTGGTAGGAGACCCAAAAATATTCTTGTGTCTCTTCAACTTCTGTTGCTGATATGTTTTTGTTAACATTGCTTTATCTAAACACCTGAAAATTAATTTCACAGAAAATTAAGGGTGTAACTGGTTATAATTTAATGAAATATATTGAATGAATGTGATAAAAAAAATAGGATAAATTTTGTAATCCAATACTGAATAATAGATCTCACTTATTTATGTTTTGTAATCAATTAAAATACTGAATAATGGATCTCACTTATTTATCAACGTTTGAAAAGTGGGATATTTGTTTTTGAAGGATTTGGTTTTTTTCTCTATCAAATAAATAGCTAAATGACTTATCCAGAAAGTCTGAATTTTGGTTCACAGGAGATGCAATTTATTCTCCAGGTTTATTTGAGGCAAATCAGATAAAGATTTTCTTTTCAGAACGGTGCACAAGTAAAGCTATTTATATTGGGCCTGTAAATCTATTATGAATCTTAATAGAATAGGTAAATTAAAAAAATTGATTCTAGTAATGATCTAATATTAGATTTTGATCTCTGCATTGTATGGATTTATTTAATTTTATAATTTTATATATCTATATTACTATAATGTATGTGTTTATTATATATTATAGTGTGTTATGTTTATCTTTTTTTTTTTCTAATGGTTTTTGTTTTATGTTGTCCTAAAATATATATCTTTATATCAAAAAGTTCTTTTTCTAATATAAATTGTGATGTATTAATTGTTAAAAATATATCTCGTATATTTATACGTCATAATAAGTATGTTTGGGAGCAAATTACGGGATGCCACGTGGAAGAATTTGATTGGTCGTCGATCTTGCAGGGAAGATTTAAAATTTGGGGGAAAACAAAGGAAAAGGATCTCGGTGAACTAGAACATGGTTGCCCTTCCGATTACGCTATAATACTCTATTTAGAAAAGACACGTGACTGGACGAAGTGAATAAGGATATCAGAAGAACTATGAGATGGGGCGCTCTATCAACTCAGAAGGATCTTGATAGAGCTTTTAAGGAGATTTTAGCTGTGAAGTGAAGCTAGAAGATGAAGTTATCGATCTAGAGCGTTCTGCCTCTCCTCTTTGGCGCGATGAGTGCGCTTTATAAAGAGAAATTTACGGAGGAAGGCACTTCCACAAACTCAATTTACAAATTAACACACTTAAGAACATAGACACACTTTCACTTAAAAAAAAGTTTATTATACCCCTATTTTTTAATTTGTGCTTTCTCTTGTTTAACATTTCACATACCCCGTAAGAAATTGTAAATATGGGGCACCATCGCTGCCGCCTTCTAACTTCTTCATACCCAAATTCAGATTCAGTTTTTCCAATTCATTGGAACTGAGCAACTATATCGGATTTCTATTTGATGGAATCCCGATATCTATTTCCGCCTTTGAACCCCCTTAAACCCAAGTTCTTGAATCTTCTAATTTTTCAATTCTGCATCTTTGGTGTCTCTGCTGACAATTTATCGATTCCATCACTTTCTATTTCACCGGTATCTTAATTACATTACAGTATTGTCTTCGGGATAACAGGTAAATCTGATTATCCACCATGTGCATCCATCCGCCATGAGCATCCATCGACTATCCATCCACCATGTTTATCCAATACGTCCATCCACACTAGCCATGGAATCTATCTACCCCGCCCATCCGCACTGCATCCATCCATCTCATCCATCCACAATGCATCCATCAACCATGCCCATCAACCAAATAAAAAAAGGTAGATATTCATTGTCGGCTAAACACCTCTTTCGAGGGAGTTCACCAATATAAATAATATCCAGAATCAGATTGTCAATAAAGACTCCATAATCAAGAGAGGTTTTAGCACGTCAAAAGATTTTAATTTCTGGATAAAAAATTAATTTGATATAATATTTGTTAAGAGCAAAATAGGAACTTCATGTCAAAACAGTATTGCAAAGTGCCTCAAAACTCTTAAGTGCCTAAATTTGTAATTACTTTCTCCAAAGTGCCTATTTTAGTAAATGTCTCTTTTATAAAAGATACCTGGTTCAGGGTCAGATCTGTGTTTGGGTCGTCTGACTATCCGGGTCGGGTTCTTACTACTGTTCTTTGTCATCATTATCGCCATTCCCGGACTCTTCTATACATGTAGTCAGAAGGGAGGTTGCCGACCTGCTCCGCCTTCTCCTAGACGCCATCATTGCGATATTCTTTGATAGGTGTGGCGCATTTAATGCTCCTTGGGTTCCTGCAGTATCTGTTCACCAATATAAACAATATCCAGAATCAGATTGTCGATAAAGACTCCATAATCAAGAGAGATTTCAGCACGTCAAAAGATTTTAATTTCTGGATAAAAAATTAATCTGATATAATATTTGTTAAGGGCAAAATAGGAATTTCATGTTATGCAAAGTGCCTCAAAACTTTTAAGTGCCTAAATTTATAATTACTTTCTCCAAAGTGCCTATTTTAGTAAATGTCTCTTTTATGTAAGATACCTGGTTCAGGGTCGGACCTGTGTTTGGGTCGTCTGACTACCCGGGTCGGGTTCTTACTACTGTTCTGTGTCATCATTATCGCCATTCTCGCACTCTTCCATACATGTAGTCAGAAGGGAGGTTGCTGACCTGCTCCGCCTTCTCCTAGACGCCATCATTGCGATATTCTTTGGTAGGTGTGGCGCATTTAATGCTCCTTGGATTCCTGCAGTATATGTTCACCAATATAAACAATATCCAGAATCAGATTGTCGATAAAGACTCCATAATCAAGAGAGGTTTCAGCACGTCAAAAGATTTTAATTTCTGGATAAAAAATAATCTGATATAATATTTGTTAAGGGCAAAATAGGAACTTCATGTCAAAACAGTATTGCAAAGTGCCTCAAAACTCTTAAGTGCCTAAATTTGTAATTACTTTCTCCAAAGTGCCTATTTTAGTAAATGTCTCTTTTATAAAAGATACCTGGTTCAGGGTCGGACCTGTGTTTGGGTCGTCTAACTACCCGGGTCGGGTTCCTACTACTGTTCTTTGCCATCATTATCGCCATTCCCGGACTCTTCCATACATGTAGTCAGAGGGGAGGTTGCCGACCTGCTCCGCCTTCTCCTAGACGCCATCATTGCGATATTCTTTAGTAGGTGTGGCGCATTTAATGCTCCTTGGGTTCCTGCAGTATCTGTTGCCCACGCGTTGGGCCTCATGGGTCGTTACTACATTTTTTGGCCCAACAGTTGCTCCCGACTTATGGGGCTCTTTCCCGGGGTGCAGAAGTCTAACTGCACACGAGTTCATTTATAAGCGGAAGATCGCAAGATATAGGTTCGATTTGCATCTTCATTGCGAGGCAAATCCTATCATGATGACAGGGATCTTTATGGGAGCCTTGTTCATGGACTCGCTCGGGCAGCCATCTCGAGGAGACCGCTTTTTGGAGTTAGTTTCCCTGGAGGGTATGTGTGGTAACCCAACCTGGTAAACCGTACCGCGGCTGTGTCCCACTACATCCTCTAAGTCCGGTTTCTATACTTAGCCAAATTTTAAGCTTTTTCTTTAAACTTATCAATACACAACGGATTATTAAACAACTCATTTCATTCATTTAACTTGCATAAATCACTTAAACAGGATTCGGGGATAACTTAAACAAATCACAATGGTTCGCTAATGAATACATCATATCATCTAGCAACCTAAAACGCTTAACGCCAAAGCTCATCAGACAAAACACACGTCTTAAACATAAATAAACA